AAGTGTGTACTAAAAAAATTGGATAGTGAATGACCCAGTCGTTACGGTTTTTCACAACGCAGGGTGTTGGTCACAGGTCCGTTAGAGCAGTCGCTTGATCATGTACGCTTTTGCATTGACAGTACTGGATAGTTTCCTTGATATTACCTTTGCTGACTTACACCTTTCTTCCTGAACTGCGAAGCAAAATATACCAGCTTCTTTCTATTCTCGGTTTTCCCAACATTATCTCCACAACAATAACTAGGCCTTTTGGATGCGTGTGAAGGCCGTTCATAGGAACCGTAGCTCCTTGTCTGTTGTACCTTGGCTGCAATTTTTTTCCTAGCTCCATCGGCTAGGTCACGCACATATCGCTATTTCAGTTGTAGAGTTCTCACAGGTTGTGCAAATTTTTCACGAAAAAAATACTCGGTAGAATGCGATTTTTCCATCAATGTGATCTTTCGAAGTCCGGAACAAAGGTAGTAAGTTCCATCAGGCCTGACCATGCACCATGCACCTTTCGTTTTCTCCCATTGAAGCAAAGATTTACATGGATAAAATGATCTCAGTACCAAACAGTCACCGAAATAGAACGTTTTAAAGCATACCATCACGACGAGACTGCACCTTGACGTTGTGTGATGGCTTGTGCACCTCTCTGACCCAACGACCTGTACGGGATGGCTTTATTCAATCCGCATATCTAATCATGCCTGGAAGATCAATGGGTAGAGGTCAGACAAAATCCAGTCTCCTGGTCCTCCAGGTTGGGGGTTCAACTCCAGTTAGCATCTCAGTCGGTAAAATGGTAGAGGAGTAATTGATCCAAGTAAATGGGCCTCTACTTCGCTTTACCCGCTGCCTTGCGGTTAGGTTCTTGTCAGAACTCAAGGCTTTGGACGATAACCCTAATCGTTCTCCTGCTTAGTGGCTGGACACCCTGGCTGTACCCGTTCATCAAACTCAAATGCATACACAAACAAAAGATAATTCCATACTGCATCGGTCGTCGCGCAGGATAATCAGGACCGCGCTGCCCATTGCATCGAGCGGGGTGGGTAATGATAAGTGGGCTACTG